GGGGGGGGGGGGGGGGGGGGTTTTTCGGTTTTTTGGGGGGGGGGGAGGATGGTGAAGTGTCGTCAGAAGAACATTCCGTGGAAAGTGAGTTGCTGGAGTCGGCTGTACGCGTCTGTGGGAAGGTCGTGACCCTGACTCAGCGAACGGCGGAAGCTGCAAAACAATCGGCAAGAAATGGGAGGCAGCCGCTAATTAAGCTGTGCTTTAAGGGAGTCGTGGTTAAGGAAGGCCTATCCTGACTAAGGAAGGCCTATCCTGACTAAGGAAGGCCTATCCTGACTAAGGAAGGCCTGTTTAATCTCCACATCTGGAGCACGACTGTTGGGCATGTCGTCGGGAGTTTGGTTGCGCGCCAGGCGGTCCTGAAGACCCACAAAGGAAAGCCGCAGGCTGGGGGGGGTGCCTGGCTTTTGAAGGAGGCAGGGCAGGTATTTTTTTGTTAGAAGGCTGGCAGTTTTACTGTGGCTTGTGATGTTGACGAAGTGGTGGGGGTGGGGCGGGGGGGTAGGCGTCAGGCAGTGCTTTCCTGCTCTCTGACTTCAGCGTTAATCTCTGTCCTTAATCGTATTAAATTTCCTCCTCCTCTCTGTGATGATAAATGGACTTGGAGTGTTGCCCCCTCTGATGCCTGCCATGCGTCTATAGTCAGGTGACACCCCCCCCCCCCACCCCCGGTTCATGCCGTTCCGCAGTAAAGACCGGACACCCGCCTTTAAAAGGATTACGGACATTTGCAGGGAGGGCAGCCCGGCGGTGACACGCCATTCATGATGGGCCGATGGATCCACATGTTAGGTCTCGGGTGTCCCACCGCTACCTGGTGTCATGGGACTTGTCCGCAGCCCTGCTGTCAGAGTAAAGGACACCTCCCAGGAGGCAGCGGTGGCGGAAAGCCACCTGGGTTCAGGAGGTGATGTTCTGTGCTGTTTTTTTCGAGCACCCGCACTGCCTTCTGGGAATACTATAACTCATATATATACTTTTCTCTCCACACTCTTCACTGCTGTGAATTTTCTTCCCAGATTTTGTCCTTTTTTTTCAGGGTGAAAATTAAATGAAGCATTTAATCACTGTCCGACAGAAGCCTCTCGAAGGCACCGGGTAGTTTTAGTGGAGAGGAGCCATTAAATTACTAGCTTTAGTACAATGTGGGCGGAGCTTAAGTGGGGGCGACCTTTCTCCAGACGATTGAGATCCCGGTGACTCAGCGACGCTGCGGCCCTGGAAACGTACAGCCTTTTCCGGGCCGTGCCCAGACACCAGGCTGTGAGGCCGCGGGGTCTGCGGGCGTCCGTGAGGCTCGGCACTTGTCTCGTAACGCCCGACATCTCGCAGGTTTATTTCCAGGCTTCTGCTGGTTCGCGCAGAGCTGGTGTTTATCAGCGCCGCTGGAATTTCTGCCGTCGCTGACTTGTCAGCTCTAGGATGTAGATAATTAGTGTGAATTTTAGATTTTTTGGGGGGTGGAAATCGGAGCCACCTCCTTCAACGCCCCCAATTCCTTTTCCCTCACCTTTGGCACTTTGGGGCAGATACTCAGCCCTCCTACTTGGCCCTCTTAAGAGGTCTTCCCGGGGCCCACAGCAGGAAGCGGCGGCTGGCGGGGTTGGGGGAGGGGGGAGCGGGGGCCGACACTCCCTCGTACAATTTCCATTCGCTTGCGTTTTCCATCGAAAGCCAATACGGCCATCCTCACCCATGGACGGATGGCTGCGCTACAGCTGAGGCTTAATCAATAGCTCTTTTCATTTCGCCATCGATCGACGGTAAAAGCCGCGCGTGCGCGCATACTGGTGTACATGCGTGTGCCCGCCACAGAGACGGAACACGCCGGAACGCATCGATCCGGCCCGGCTCTTATTTAATTATTTAATTCCCAGATAGATGCTAATGGAACTAGCGATTCGTCTGCGGTTCTCTTCCCTTCCTTTGAACCCTCTGAATATATTTATAAATGAAATTAAAGGCTGGCCCGTGTGTGAGAGCCAAGCCGTGGGGCTGGAACGCCCCCCCCCCCCCAGGGAGCAGTTATTCCAGGGGCCTCGTCGGTTTGAGGATGCCTCACTGCAGTTGTGCTGCATTTGTCCCCTTTTTCGTTTGGGTCGTCGAATTGTCGCTTTTCATTTCTCATAACAGGAAAACGGTTCGACCTGATACCTGTGCATTTAAGTGGTGCTTTTTTTTTGTTGCATTTAACAATGAGGAAGTTCGAGCACAGATTCCTTAATAAAAGCAGCAGACGTCCTTAGGCCAACCCGCATCGGCCCTGCGCGTTCCTGCCCTGCGCGTTCCTGCCCTGCGCGTTCCTGCCCTGCGCGTTCCTGCCCTGCGCGGTCCTGCTCTGCGCGTTCCTGCTCTGCGCGCTCCTGTTCTGCACGTTCCTGCTCTGCGCGTTCCTGCTCTGCGCGTTCCTGCTCTGCGCGTTCCTGCTCTGCGCGTTCCTGCTCTGCGCGTTCCTGCCCTGCGCGTTCCTGTTCTGCACGTTACTGTTCTGCGCGCTCCTGTTCTGCGCGCTCCTGTTCTGCACGTTCCTGTTCTGCACGTTCCTGTTCTGCGCGTTCCTGCCCTGCGCGCTCCTGCTCTGCGCGTTCCTGCTCTGTGCGCTCCTGTTCTGCACGTTCCTGTTCTGCGCGCTCCTGTTCTGCACGTTCCTGCTCTGCACTCATCTCACAGACCTGTGCAACACCCCTGATCAGGAACGGGCAGAGATAAGCGACAAGAGGAGGGGGGGTTATTAGTGAGTCGAGGCAGGCGTGGGGCCCCGTTAGCGCCCTGCATGGATGGGGGCCCTGCGGGGAGGGCCGCCTCGTCCCCGTGCCACTGACACCTCCGTCATCTCTTGTCCTCAGATAACACTGACTGGGCTCCTTAGAGGAGAGCGTCTCCCCTCCATTCCGGGATGCTGCAGACATCTGCCTCGTCAGGCGTAGCGCTTTATTTACGGGGCGTGCGTGCTGCTGCCGATGATGGGAGGGGCCTTCTATCTGACCGCCTTTCCATCTCTTCCCCCCCCCCACCCCCAATCCCGGTTCCCCAGGCGACCGGCTGCGGCAGACGGAGAACAGGGCCACGCGCTGCAAGGTGGAGCAGCTGCAGCTGCTGATGCAGCAGAAGCGGCTGCGGAGGAAGGCGCGGCGGGACTCGCGCGCCCCCTACCCCTGGCTGCCCAACCGCAAGTCGGGCCGCAGCAACAGCAACAGCAGCGTGTCGAGCGACGGCTCCCTCGACCTGGACTTCGACGACTCCGTGTGGAAGCCCGACGTCAAAGCCGACATGAAGTCAGAGTTCGTCGTGGCGTGACGGAGCGGCGCCGGTGACAGGGACGGGGGACACCAGTCAGAGGCCGTCCACATGCATTAAGAGACGAACCTACTTCTCATTTTTTTGCTTTTTCGACACCTGTGACGACAGACACACAGCAGAAATGGTTCGATTTATAATTTTTGGTCCCAACTGGCCCTCGATTTTATTTTGAAAGATATTTAAAAAAGGATTGCCTGTACTTCAACATCTACTAAATTTAAGAGACAGATGTGTCCTGCCTTACAGAAGCTAAACACGGCTCTACAGTGCTGGAGGGTGTCTTTCCCCCCCCCCCCCCCCCCCCCCCCCCATTCTATCTAATTTTTTTTCTTCCAAGGAGAACAATGACTGGAAAAAAACCACACGTGACTCTGACGGGGGATGGAAATAGGCAGTGGGGTCCCCGTCCTGTACTGGGGGGAGAGGGCAGCCCCCTGTAGCCATCGCGGTGTCATTACGGGCATTCCAGCTCTCACACTCCCCAACCTAAATTAGCTCATTTTTAGGGAGGCATCTCCTTTTGTTAATTTCCCCAAAAACAGATATGTAGCATTGTTCACGAAGCATTCAGGTGTATTACTAACAAACAGACAAACAAAAGTTGTTTCATTTGCACTTTTCGTTTTTTTCGCCGGGATTACACATGGGTCGTGGATACGAGGGGAAGACAGGAGGTCTTGGGTGGATGGATGGATGGATGGATGGAGGAATGGAGAGAAATGGGACTTTCAGAGGTGGGACTCTGGACCTCGAAAGCATTCGTCAAACCGCAACCTCACAGATTCAGGTTATAAATAGGAATAATGTGTAGAGTGACTGATGAAGAGTGCTTTGTGAAGCTTATTTTGGAAGAAAAATTTGATCTCTTCGGAAGCCATTAAGCAGATATGGCTTGGCTCAAGCCATCTTGTAATGAATAGTTAATGGGTGATATATTTAATGTATTCAATCTTGCCCTGCTTTTGATCATGCTTTTTAAGAGAAGGGGAGAAACACCCCGTCAAGCCAGCGCCCTGCTGTATGGTGCAGGGTCCGTGCCCGATGCCCTGACTCTCTGCAGGTCCTGGATGTTGTGCTCTTGTATGTATCTTGGGTAACAGGGGTGGGGACGAGATCAGACTGATTCGCTGTCTTAAGAACATTCCCTTTTTGAAATCCTCCAGCATAATAACAAGAGCAAAACGATTTTCTGTCTTCAGTTTGTTTTTCTTGCACAGATACGTAATTGCCCCCCCCCCCACACCCCCGAAATCTAGGGACTGAGGGTATGAGTGGGAATGAAAATGTACCCTGTTTTCTTTGGAGTGACGTAAATAAAGCCACACCCTACCCTGTACTGCGATTATGCCTCCTACCCCCCCCCCCCCCCCCCCCCCCCCCCCCCCCCCACTGCCACCACTTACAGTACAATCACTCACCATCATTTACAGGAAGAGCTGACGGTTCCTGATCACGTCCAGCGGGAGTCCCTTCTCGGGTCGTTTAACTTTCTTATCAGATGGGACCTTTGAAAGGCGAAACTGCTGCTACATGGGGTATTTTATTTAAACCAAACAAAAAAAAGACTTTGCATGTTAAAGTGAATTATCCTGAAGCCTTCGGTGAGCTGGGAGTGAGGACGTGCGTGACAGGCTGCTCTTAAGAACCACTAGTAAAATGCATGACTTTGAATCGTTTTAAGAGGAGAAAACTGTGCCATTGAGTATATGTGTGTATATATATATATATATACAGTATATAAATATATATATATATATAAATATATATATATATATATATATATATATATATATATATATATATATCTTTTTTGCAAATTGGGTTTCTTTCTCTAGCAGTCCTGCTACGTCTTTTCCAAAGGTTAAGAACAAGACGCTGAAAGCGGTGAAGTATGACAGGACTTTTTTTTTTTCTTTAATAAAAACTCCAGTGTCCAGAAAAGACCAACCCCACGACCTTTGCCCTCTACCCCCTCCCGAGTGCCGAAACCAGCCACGTGCCGACCTGCCGGCCCTCTCTAGAGCACACCGAGATGGTTGGCGACGTGCGTCTTTGGGGGGAGGAAAAAAAAATGTCGGGGGAACGGCGATCCCTTCCCCTCTGAGGACTCGAAACTCCGCCCAGAAGTGCGGAAGGCCGAGGCTGCACTCGCGAGTCGCCCGCAGTGAGAGATTACGCTCGAAAGGCGAGCCCTCCTCTTTTTGTTAAGTGACCTTACCTTTCGTGAACTGCGACCGAGGTTTAAGGGAAGAGGTGCAGAGATTCCGGTGTATGTGGGAGAGAGGGGGGGGGGGGAGAGAGAGAGCGTGAGCGAGAGAGAGAGAGAGAGAGAGAATGTGTATCTTTCTGTCGCAACATCTCTGTCACTTCTTGAAGCTGCAGCAGTGTGTTATGTAAAGGCTTCAGTGCCTTAAAGAAATGTCACCCTAATGCCATGAGATAAATAATCACTTCAGCAGATCCATTGTAATGATAATCCGTGCCCAGTGACTCTCCAGACTCTGATAGCATTGAAGGACTTCTGTTTCACTAGAGAGGTATTTAACGTAGAAGGTGAGAGCGGGTCAAAAGCAGTTTTTTTTTTTTTTTTTAATTTTCACAGATGTGGAATCTTGTCAGTCCTCGTCTTCCTGTTTCTCCATATTGTTCCCATCATTGTTGAAGACCATTTTTGTACTGGGGGTGTTGTGTGGGGGGGGGGGGGAACCCACTCTGTCGTGTCACCAACAAACTAAAGAGCAGCACACATGCAAACACGGAAAAGAGTGCCGTGGTGTTTTGAGCGCCGCGCGCGGTCTGGGGCTGGCTGCGGCGTCCTCTGAGGATGCCGATGCATTTCCCATCGCCTGGAGTGGCGTGTTTGATGGACATTCTTCTCACCTTAAGTTTTTTTATAAACGTGTGGAATAATATCTGTGTGCCTGACTTTAAAAATGCAGAAGTCGGAAGGGTCAAATGTCAAGGCGACAGCATCGCTTGGAGTGTGGTTTGTCTGGGGGGCGGGGGGCGGGGGAGGGCACACAGACGGGGGTGGGGGGCGTTTGCAAAGCAGTTCGTTGGCAAAGTTACTACATGTTCAGATCACCTCATTTAAGTTGCCTGTTCTTGTAGCCAACCATTTTAAATAAGAGTCAAAATACAATTTGCAATGTTCTAGCTATAGACCAGTGTAGCACATGTGACTGTATTAATTTATGAAACCAAAATGGTAACTGTGAATTATGTATTTCTTTGTGCATCTTTTTTTACGTGGGAGAAGGTGGCCTAGCCAAGGTTAATGCAATGTCATATTTAGTTCTTTTTGGTGGAATATAATGGAAATCATCAATTAAAAAAAAAATATAAAAATATATTTTTTTTCTTAAGCAATACATTTCAGTGTGACTTGTGATAGAACTTTTTTCTTTATTTAGGTAATAAATTGAAAAGGAAAAAAACCTGTTATGAGGACTTGAAATGTCTTTGTTGTGCTGCCTCTCCTGTGTGTTTATGACTTACGATTTAGCACAAATCAGCTAGGAGACACTTGCTAAGCTCCCAAAGGACGGACGATCTGACCACCACAGACACACACACACCTGTGAATTATGTGGACCCCATCAAACACCAAGAACGTCTTCCTCCTCAATAAATTTTGTATAATTTCTTTTATGCTGATAGAGTGATTCTGTCTTAATATAAACTCAATATGCAAGATGTAAGAAACTCTGAGGGAAGCCTTAGCATGGGCTGTTTAGACAAGCGGTATTTTAGCACATTTTGGGTGGAAAGCTGGGTTCCACGAAGGATTCCTCTCATACTGACAATCCCTTTAATTATGTTGCTTCTCTGTTGTACAGATCAACTTTAGAATCAGAATAATGGCCAAAGTGTGAGGAATTTGGCGGGAAACCGAAGTCACATTTCACTCCGATCGTTGTTTCTATCGCCGAATCTGCGTTACGGCTCCGTCAGGCCGCTGTGCATGAAAAGGGAAGGGGGTGCAGTCGAGGTGCAGGGATCTGTCTTCTGTCTGGCACCTTTTTATTTATCCTTTCTTTTTTTTCCTTGAACAGGTGTGTGCAAATGAGGTTTGTGGCCTCCACCACTGCCTTAACTGCCAGGAGCTTCTGTCTTTTGTTGACATTTCCGCTTTGCATGCTGGGTGCTCGGATAAACCCTCATTTACTAAAATAGTAGCATGGTTGCTTTTTTTTTTTTTTAAAGCAAGCCTAAGTTTTGGTGCCATTTTTCTCAAAAGATCACAGTTATGCATGCAGTTTACTTGGTTAGTTGCCGGTCGATGTCGCTGGAGCTGATCTAATCAGCTAAACGAGCTGAAGGTCGAGCTGCTGCCTTTGTACCCCTCCCCGATTGCAAATAGTCTCTGTACACTAATAATACAACTTGAGCCGGGCAGGTTTCCCAGAACTGCGCGCCGTTTCTGCGCTGAACTTGCAGGTTCCAGCCTCCACACGACTCGCTGGTAAATGACGGGTTCGCGGCGGCCGCCGCGGCCGCTCAGCGTCTCATGAAACCGAGAGCACAAGGCTGCAAGCGAGGCCGCGGAACCAGAAACCGCAGCACTGGCCACAAACTGATAAATCCTAAAAGAATCGTTTGCGAGGGAACGCTGCCGGGTCGGCGATTTTCATGCTGCATCATCTGCCTTTGCGTGTGCATGTCTGCACGCGTGTGTTTGTGTGCATGCATGTCGATTAGCTTTATATTACTTCATGGGAGCCAAATGTCCTCCACAATGTTAGAAAAACCTGTTATTTTGACGTTGTGGGGACCATTTTTCAGGTCTCCACAAAGATCTGTGGCTGCAATCAAAAAAACTAAAAATGCCAAAAGTCTCGTATTTAGTTTGGTTACTTATGGTTAGGGTTAGGGCTGGGTAGTGGTTATGGTCGTCATGTTGGGATTAGAGTTTTCCCCATAGAAATTAATGGAGAGTCCCCACAATCCTGTGTGTGTGTGTGGTGGGTTTGTGCGACTTATATGTGCAAAGGTCCTCCAGCTAAACCCACAGATTTAGTACTATCATTCTACTGGCCATACAACGTTTTATCCGTGCGACTGCATCGCATGTTCAAACGCTAGTGCGTCGGCTTTTGTGTCACAGCTTATGTTCCCAGCGGATCCCGTGTCCTGTCCATGTGTTTCTATGGTAACGGACCCTTATTTTGGTAAGCTGGCCTGGCTGGAATCGCACCGCTGGCTTGCTGTCGTTTCCTGGGCCGGGGGGCGTGGCCCCCTCCTCTGTGCTGATAACGCATGTATTTATACAGCTGGCCGCCGAATGTTTGCATCTTGTTTTGGTGACGCCCGCCTCTGCCTCTTTTTCCGTTGTGGGGCTCTTTGGGGTATCTGGTGGTGAGGCAGCTGTCCGCCGTGTCTGTTGGTGAAGGTATATTAAGATTCTTCCAGCACAAAAAAGCTGGACGTTGCTGGGAAGGGGAATCCCTTCGCAGGACACAAGCATTGAGGATTGCGTTGTGCGATACACTCTGTCCGTTCCTCCGGCTCCATCTCTGTACTGCCTGTGATGGAGAAGGAACAGCGGATCAGGTCTGGCTGCCATCTACACAAAGACTTCACCGATGACCCTACAGATGTTCGCTTCGGTCCTTTAAGCAGACACTGTACCATCTCTACAATCAGCAGTGTGCACAACAACCATTGCTGTTAACTCTCAGTCAGTTAGCCACAACCTTCAAAGCTATTTCATTAAAATTCATTTTGTTTCTCCTTTGACTTCTGTTTAGCCTGCCTCTGCTGCTCCCTGTGTTCTCTCAGAATTTTGGCCGCTCACCATAATCAGCCAAGTATTCCTCTTTTTCGTGTCTACGTCTTGTTTTTGTGTGAAAAAGTCAGTGCCTCTGCACGCTGGTTTTCAGTCTCGCTCATGTGACCTTTGCCGGCTGCGGCACGCAGAGGCCCCTGTCCCGCCTCGCCTGCCTCGTTGGGGCCCAAGGCTCGCCATCCTCACTCGCTCTCTCTGATCTCACGCCCACAGCACCACTCTCGCTCGCAGGACTCTCCAGAGATTAATAATCGGCGCTGCCTGTTGGATGATTGCTCATCTCGTTTACCGGCCGTGACACGGGTGCTAACCCTAACCCACCGCCGAGCGCTGCTTCGGCTAAACCACCGCGTTGCCTAATTAGGACTCCCCTGCCCAGTCGTACAATAACCCTCCTAAACCGGAAACCTACTCAGTGTGATCAACATGTTTTACTGAGCTCTGCTCGGAAAGGAACTCGTCTTGGGAGGCGTGAGTTCACGGCCCCGCAGTAGACGTACCAGAAGGGGCGGTTTGATGGCATTGCACCGAGACGGTGCGGCTGATCTTGCCGA